GGGGGGGTCGGTCTCACCTATGACCCCCCCCCCCATGTGACTAAGCAGACAGCAGCCTGTTAGCACCTGGAAAGCAGGACCCTGATCCCTCACCGCCCCCCCCCCCCCGGCATCATGACCCCTGGGTGCCAAGTGCCCACAGCTGCAGTAGCCCATGGGCACAACACTGGCAAAGACGCCAATGTCTTGTGCTCCAGGGGCGTGGAGAGCCACATGGCTGCCATTGTTACTGGCTAAGGGCTACCGCAGAGCAGTGGCTCCGGCCCCATCCACCCCACCCCCACAGCCCAGGGGCCACGGCTGTGAGTACTGACAACCCAACAGCCACCCTAGCCGAACCAAGGCAATATGGGGCACTAGACTCAACCCACCTTGTGCCCCATAGTCCCACCTGCAGGCCGCGGCCCTACCCCTCCATGGGGTGACGGCAGCTGTCAGCATTAAGATGAATGGACCAATTTCTCCCCTCTTGGCGCTGTTGTTTTAGGCTCTCTGCGGACTCAGGCAGGCAGTGGTGACACCCCCCACCCCAGCTCACATTTTCAAACTTGTTCTTTACATCCTTGAGGACTAGCAATATATTTTCTTTCTTTTTTATTTTTTTTAAAGCCAAACTCTCAGCCCAGGACTCCAGAAGCTGGAGCTGTAATCCCTGTGCCCAGTCAAGGGGTTGGAAGAGCCCCTTCTGCATGTAACACCCATCCCCCCCCCAGGAAACGCCCCCCCCACTAATGCGCCTTCCCAGCCCTTTTACGGCTGCTTGACCTGGTCATACAGAGTCACGGCGACTCTGGGCTGGGGAAGGGGGCAGGAGCATGGGGGTTGGGGCAGAAGTTACACCATTACACCTAAGATCAGGGAGCCCCCCTTTGCCGAGGGAGGGGGGGGATGGCCTGTCCTGATCCCGGCCTCTGCCTCGCTCGTCTCCTCTTGAGGCCACAGGTGCCCCGCCAGGCAGCAAAGCTCCCTGTGTCCCTTTGCGTCCCGGAGGCTGGACCCCGGCCCTGCGAGGCGGCCTCTAATCCCAGCCTGGCGCACAGAGCGTGGCTGACCTTTCCCCAGCCCGGGGACACCGCGTGCTTGCCCTTTGGACTGGCCAGCTGGCCGCCAGCGCCCACTCCCTGCCGCTGAAATAGACGAGCCCTCGAAGGCAATCTGGTCCTACTCCTCTTCCCCACCCCCGGGGGCTCTTCACACCCCCCCCACTGCTGCTGGTTCCCGGCGCAAAGCTCCAGGGAGCACCCAGCCCCCTGCTCTCGCCTGGCCTGGGTGCACGGGCAGCAAAGGGAGGAAGATGGACAGCGAGGGGTCGGGTAAACAACATAATCAGAGACTTGTTAACTGCTTCACAGGGCCTGCTGCCAAAGCCGGGGTGTGTGTGTGCTTTGAACTAGCACAAAGATAGATGCCTCCTTAATCCCCCAGCTTGGGGGTGACACATGAGCCAACCCTGCAGCGGCAAGGCCAGGCACAGCCGCCCCTCTGCTGCCACGTGCTGGGCTGCAGGGGAAGGGGAGCGGCACCATCTTCATCCCCGGCTCTACTGCGTCATTCGTTAGAATGGGGGTAAGGGCCAGAGGCACTGGTCAGGGATGGCTAGAGCTGGCTGAGCGGGCACATCCCACCCTGTTCCATACGACGGCCACCACCGGACCCTCATTCCCAACAGGCCGGCAGCTCCCACCCCCCTTCGGGAAGGGCCCGGTGGCCCCAAGCCCAGCTGGAGAAGGGTAGGGACTGGGGAGGCCAGGCAGCGGGAGGGGAGGGGGTTCTGCAGGCAGGTAAGAGGGCAGCAGAGGGGGGCACACAGCAGATTTGGGCTGCCAACAGGCCACGGTGCCGTGAGGGGGGCCGTGACCCCCTGCTCAGCACTGTGCCCCCCCACCAGCAGCAGCAGAACACGCTGGGGCAGCTCTCAGCCTAACCTGGCTGCCCCCGAGGGCAGGCCTCACTCTATCAGCTTGACCAACAGGGACTCTTCATCCATCACTGTGGCCATCTCCTCTTCCTCCTCCTCTTCCCCGCCTTGGGGTGCCGGGCTCAGCGTCACCAGCACGGCTTCCTGGCTGGGGGGCTCCTCCTCGCTGGGGGGCCCCTCCTCGGCCTCCAGGGGGTAGTAGCACCGGGCGGCGGAGAGAAAGTCATCCCCCACATCCAGGATGAGCAGCCGGTCCTGGGGAGGGGGAGAGACAGCCAGGCTGGGATGGGGAGGGGCACAAGGTCAGGGGCAAGCAAGGGGCTATGGCTAGAGGGAGGGACCCACATCCCCCTGTGGGGGGAGCAGCAATTACCCATCATCCCTGATTGCAGCTGCAAACTCTGCACCCCACGGAGGGATTGCAGACACAGGGGAGAAGGGGGCCCCGCCAGCTCCCCCCCCCCCCCGCCCCACACACCAGGACGAAGAGGTATCGCTCTGGGAGGCTGCAGTGGCGGTCGAAGAGGCTGGTCTGCTCGGCCAGGGCAGTGAGGAGCTGGCGGGCCTGCAGGGGCTGGCGCAGGGAGCTGTAGGAGGCCGTGGAGGTGATGTCGAGCAAGCCGTCTGCCTCGGCGCTGAACCCTGCCCAGGGGTGGGAGGAGAGGCCTTTGAGCCCACTAGCTCCACGCTCGCCCTCGCTAGAGCTGCGTGGCGCCTGTCTCTTCGAGGGGATAAGAACCTACTACTGCTACCAGGCACCAGAGGAGTTACTCCTCCAGCCCCGGGGCAGAAGCCTGTTCAGAGGGGCTGGCGTCGTTGCCCTGGGCTCGTTAACGCTCCCCCCAGATGTGTGTGAGGCTCAGAGACTCCGGCATGCAGGAGAGGCAGGGTCAGGCCTGCTCTCTGGGTCCGACGGTGCATGCTGGGCCCTGCGTCCCATGAACAAGCCCCTGGGCCGCACTGCCTCCCGGCGAGAGGGCCCAGCCCAGCCCTGGCTAAGGCTGCAAAGCAGGGCCAGGCGCAGCGAGCAAAGCCTGCCGCCCGCCCCGCACCCCTCTCCACCAGCACTGAAGCGGGCGCCGTACCCAGGACCTCTAGGATCTGCCTCCATCGGTCCTTCACCTCGCGGCGGATTTGGCGGTGGGCGCTGATGTCGAAGCTCAGGCGTCGGTAGCCCTACGGGAGAGAGACTGGGGGGGGTCAGACCCCGGAAACCACAAGGCACCAGCTTCCCCCCGCTTCCCTATCCAGTCATGGCTGCCATGCACCTACACCAGTGATTGGCCCACAGCCATGCTCCCAGCCCGGCCTTGGAGACTGACTGGGAGTTTCACAGGACAGAGCTGCTTGGGGGACCGGGAGCAAGGACTCCTGGGTTCTATTCCTGGCTTTGGGACGGGAGTGGGGTCCAGTGGTTTGGAGGAGCGGGGGCTGGAAGGCAACTGTCCTGGATTCTAATTACAGCTCTTACTCCACTGCGCCTCAGTTTCCCCACTGACACAGTGGAGATCCATTGTGAAGGCTCTGAGAGCCCAGGATCAGAGCAGTGCATTTCAGTGCCTGGTAGATGTGCCAGCCGGGGTGAGACCCCATCCAGCCCAGCTGGGCCTCCCATTGGTCTTACACAGCCATTCGCTCATCCCCTTCCTGTAAGAGAGTTATGTTCCAGTAGCACCCAGGAGTGCTAAGTGAGAGCAGGGCCCTGTTGTGTTGGGCGCTGCCCAAACGCCGCCAGCCCCAGCCCAGAAGAGCTCCCAGGCTAAGCAGGCAGGCTGGGAGGAGAAACTGAGGCAAGGACTTGCCAAAGGTCACAGCACCGGTCAGTGGCAGAGCCTGGCATAGCATCCTGGGACCCCGTTCGGAGCCCTACGTCTCCAGCCCCAGGGAAGAAGAAAGCTCCCTGCGGTTCGGCATGCACAGTGAGGCCCTCCGTGAGTCCCAGGGGCCCGCGTGGGCCGGGAGCACCGACCTCCGAGCCCCGGCGTAGCCTGGCCCGTTTCTGCAGCAGGTTGTAGAGCTCGCGGTCGTCGTCCCGCTCCATGTGGGTGTCGTCCGCGGGCTCGTTCCACAGGTTGGTGGCCTGGGCCCGTTTGCGCTTCCCCAGCTGATCGAAGTACCGGAGCATCTCACTGCAACGGGAGGAGAGCGGGCGAGACAGCGCGGGGCATGCACCCAGCCTGGCACCCAGGCAGCACCAGCGCCAGACACTGCCATGCAAATCGGGCCACCTTACAAAGCAGTGGGGCAGCTTTGCCTAGGCACCTTGGGGTAGCCCTAACACAGCAGTCATGGACCCCGCCCTTCCCAAGCCCCTCACTGCAGGACTGGGGCTGGGGGAAGCCAGACGGGCGCTGAGGAGCTGCGGTTGCAGGTTGTAACAATTGCTCATCTAATATCCTCCTCCAGTGGTAGCCCAGAGCCAGTGGCTGAAGGGGAAGGGGAAGGGGACTCCCCCCCACCCCACACACACACACACATGCGGCCTGGTGGAGAATGCAGGGTCCTGGCAGGTAACCAGGAAAGGGAGCTCATGCCCCCATGAGCCAGCAGGAATCTTGCCGTCACTGGCAAGGGGTGAGTGGGGCTCTAGGAACATTGACAGGGGAGAAAGATCCCAGCTCACTGGTAGCAGGCGTGGAAATGCTCCCTCTGCGAATCCCGATCCAAGTGGGTGGTTGTAGGACCTGGCTGGATAGCCCCTCTCTGGGCCCATCAGCCCCCCACCAAAGAAGCCCCCATCATTGGAGAGGAAAGGGGAGCAAAGGAGATTTGGAAGCGGGGTTCAGAGGCGTCTGCCCTGCAGCCATGAGCGCGTCTTTCTCCGTCCTTGTCTGAACGCCTGCGCGGCTGCCATGTCTTGCTTCTCCCAGGGCTCTGAGGTCCCCCGACACACGCTCGGTGCTGGGTTCACAGCGCAGAAATGCGGCTGGCCCCGCTGCGGATCACGGTAGCTGCTGACCAGCATGCGGGGATGCTGTTCCCAGCAGCGGGCGAGAACGCCTTACCCGAGCGTGGGACGGGAGGAAGTGAAGCAGAATGTAATCAGCCAGAAAACCTGGGCTAAAAGTTCTCTGCTCTTGTGAAAAGCAATTTGGGATTTTCAAGAGCCCCCCGCACTGGGGTTAAGGGTGGACTGTAGTTGATTCACCTGCTGTGAAGACAAAGGATTTTGCTTCACGGGGCTGCTACCATAACACTGGACACAAACACGCAATTCAGTCGGATGTAGAACAGAGGGGAAGGAACATACCGCGTGTCGTGTCCTGGCTCCGTGCCTCAGTTTCCCCACCTTTAAAAGGAGGCGAATAATGCTCTCTTTTGCATCCAATTCTACAGAGAAGGGAGTGCCTCTCACTCCGTGCAGCGCCTAGCGCAACGGGACTCCAATCTTACTCCGCTAACGACATTAATAAATACCTGAGGAGCGGATTGTTCTCTGGCTCTTCTTGTTCACAGGAGCAGCAGCAGAGTTGGTGCCAAACATCCATATTAATTCACCCCAGAGGGACAGCAGCACAAGTCTCATCAAGGGGCAGCGGACTCTCTTCTCCTGCAAAGAAACGGCTCTGAAGAAGAGGGAGTGGGAAGTTCAGTGGGTTCTAAATTTAAGAAAAATGCAAGTCATAAGCCCCGATCATGTGAGATTCCCCCCTTCACCAGGACTCACCGCCTTAAGCCAGGGGGGACACAGCCTTGCTAAAAGGAGGCTCTTCTCTGCATCGCTTGGGGTTACTGGGCAATGAAAGCAGGTTTGTTTCCTTCCTCGCAGAAAGCAAACCCGTGGTCCGTAATGGCTGTAAATACACGCCAGGCCCGACCCAGGAACGACGACCGTGTCCAGGAAGGCTGGGGGATTAGGGTGCAAGTCAGGGATGCCGCCTCTCCCAGTACCTCTTGGGGGGAGCTGCTCAGATCCCGTGGGATCTTTAGCAGACAGGCCATTCAGTGCTTACCGGCCGAGCAAGAACTGTCTGGGGCGTGGAAACGGACCTACTCCTGGAGAAATGCCCCTCCCCTGTGCGGGGTGGCAGCCTTCATCCCCTCCACCCCGAAAAGGTGGTGACCCTGCTGGAGACAAATACCGGGGCTGCGTCCCGTGGAAGCTAGGTGCCTGCCGGGGTCTGGAAGAATCCCTCGCACCCCTCTCTACCCACCCAAGCAAAGCACAGGGCAACTTTCCTCTGCCTCGATGCACCTGGGCCCCGCTCCCAACTGGAGAGGGCCTGGGCCAGGTGATCAGAATCCCGCTGGAGGCATGTGCCGTTTACTCCGCCGTCCAGCAGGAGCCCCAGGGGACAGAGAACTGCAGGATGCATTGGCCTCGGGCGCAGTCACCTTTCCCTGGCCCCGGAGTTACCCCTCTGTCGACAGGGGGGAAGGGTGGGGCCCCATCTGCAGTAGGTGGGACTTGCAAGTGTCTGTCACCCCTGCTTTAAAGGCCCTTTGGTAAGCCAGGGCCAGGCAGACGCGGCGCTCCCAGCCGGCAGGGACAGTGCAGGTGTAAGTGGACTGTTGGCCCCTTACTAAAACTCAGTGGGGGGGTTTTGGTGGCTAGCTCCCAGCACCAAGGGGAAGGGTCGATGGGAAATCAGGACCCTGAGACTGACAGTCGCCAGGAGCAATGGGGAGAGGCCAACGCTCCAGGTCAGCCTGATGGACGGGACGGGCAGATTGACAGCGTGGGGCCGAGCTAAGAAGCGAGCAGGAGCCCGAGCTGAGCGGGGAGCAGGGCCCTGCCGGCCAGAGAGCTGGAGGCAGACCTGCAGCAGCGCTGGGGCAGAGTGGAGCTGGGGCTGGGGCTGGAGCAGTCCGGAGCTGGGTGCGGGGAGCAGCTGGGGAGAGCGAGGGGGACCCTTGGCAGCCGGCCCAGCGCAGGGAGATATCCCTGGCCAAGACACCTGGCGGGCCAGACTTGGGGGGATCATAACCCCCATGAGGCGGGGGCAACGCTGGGAAGAAGGATCCTGCCACTTAGAGCCTAAGGCATGTAGGAACCGCCAGAGCAAATGTCCGACACCCAGCATCCCTGCAGCGTAGCCAGGGCCTGGGATGTGTGAGGGACAGACTGAACTGCCCTGACACCCCAGAGACACTGGTTGCGATGTCCCCGTGCCGCAGAGCGGGGTGACGGCTTTCCCTTGAACCTTTCCCATTTTTTTTAATCGGTTGCTGTTTAATAAATGGTATTTGCTTTGAACTGTATGTAATTAACAGTGGGTCAGGGAAGCATCCAGTGCAGAGAGCCCCCCAGAGTGGGGACACCCTAGTCCCTGCCCGAAGTGACCACGACAAGGTTGGGGGTTGAGCCCCCAGGAATCCTGGGCCCAGCCTTGTTGGGGTTCCGAGGACTCTGCCACAGGGGAGAGCGGAAGGGGAGTCCTCGAGGGCAGGGAGGCCTCTGGGTAAAGGAAGTGGGAGCGAGGACTCGGATCCTTTCGCCAGCCCACATCACCGGGGAAGTGCAGAAGCCAGGAAAGTTCCCCACAATAGCGGGACCATCCCCCGCTTACCCAGGCTCTGCGTTTTACTATAGGATTAAAGGGGCTGGCCTGGGAAAGGTCTTACGCTGCTGCTCCCCCCACCCCAGGGCTTCACACCCTTTAGGGGACGACTATTTGCAACCTGCCTTTCGCCTTCATCAACACCAGCCAAGCGTGGGCAGAAAGGTGCCGGAGCGTCAGTGCAGCCACGGCGAGCACACCTCAAGGGCAAGGCAGGATTCACGCAAGAGAGATTCGCTGCCAAGTGTGGTTGAACTGGCTTCTTCGCCGAGTTGTCGTCTGGTTCGTTTCACAGGTTCAGGGCTTCTTAGTTCTTTGCTTTGTTTAAAAGAGCAGGATGCAAGGGGCCAAATGCAGCCTTGGTGTACGGAGGGGCAGTTCCAGAGCCTTCAGTGATCCCACAGAGACTTGACTCGTTTGGAAAAAGCAGGGGCGAATTTGATCCATCATCTTCAGCACCTCCAGCGACAGAAGCTGCCAGAATGCAAGCCAAGGTGCATGGGAGCTCTCTGTCTGTCTCCCGGCTGTTCAGATTCATAACCAGCCACAGGTGTCACTGCACCGTGCCCTTGGCTACAGCATGATCACAAGCACTTTACCCAAAGGACGGGGAATGGGTTAGAGGTGGAGAAACCGGGCACAGGGAAAGACACGGATTTGCCCAGGGTCCCACAGCAGAGCTGGGCACAGAACTCCGGATCCCCAGTCCTCTGCGCTAGCCACTGGCCCACACTGCCTGAAGCAGGGAACCAACCCTACAAACACGAGGCTGAAGGGCAGCCCCATCGCCTCTCATGATCACGCTTAAAGTTACTGCAGATCTAAGCACTTGCAACTTGTTTCTGTCATTATCCCAAGGCACCAGGGCTGCTTTCTAGCTGGCCAATAAACATCTTCCACGCATCCCCCCACCCCGCACATGCTTACGCAGGACGCCCACTGGGCTACAGCGGCTTATAGGTTAGGTGGCTTTGAGAGGCCCAAATGACAACACAGCAGCGTGGGGCGTGACATTGGGCAACACGGGTCAGAGGCTCTTTTCTGTTGTAGGTTTTTATTAGACGAAGGTACAAAGGTTCCAGGGGGAAGGCAGCAGGTTATTAGAGTGACAGGCTTTCTAACCAGGCTCAAGGGGAGCCCCCGCCCACCGCAGAAGAATCACAACCCCCCTGGAACTTGACACACAGTCCCTGGGGGGGTGCACGAGGTCCCCCAAAGGCGCTTCGTGGCAAGGCGATCGTTCAAAAGCCTCACGTCCCTGTGTGCGCCGCGCGGGGGGAATCGGGGTTAGGGGAGCGAGTTAACGGTGTTTTCATATGTAAAGAAGCTGAACAAACAGGATGGAGATCGGTTTCACAGGCCCCGTAGAAACCAGTGAACAAGTGGAGGTTAGTATTTCTTCTTTCTCCCCCCGCCCCCACAAGGCTGTATCATCCCCCCTCACCTGCACTCCCCTCTCCTTCATGCTCACAAGCATTAGTCTATCCCCAGAGCAGGGGCCTCCTGCCATTCGTTATGAAAACGAGGTCACAGCCTCAGAGGCCCAGTAGCCGTTGACTTCCTTTGACTGCCCTGCGCAGCCAAAAGGGACTTGCCAAGGTCGCTCGTTCCCAGACTGAAATGTTTCCTCAAATTGGGCGATCCTTCTCTGCGTTTAGAACCCTTCCCTCCCCAGCACCCCGCCCACAGGCGCCGCGGCTGGTACGTCAGTGAACTACGGCAATGGAACACTGCGCGGAGGCCCTTCGCCGGAGCTCGTGGGGGACACGACTTCTCCACAGGGAAAGAGCTTCGAGACCTGGAGAAGCTGTTACTTGAATAGTGTTTTACCAGGGGCGGGCTCTTGTGGGTGCCCTTCCCCCAGGCCCAGTCACATCGGAGACCCAGATATGCCCACAGCTCGGGCTGCAGAACCGTTCTAGACCTACAGAGACGCTGCCCTGGGTATATTTCACAGCCTTTTGTGGACCACACGGGCCTAAACTAATCCGCCACTGCCTGGCAATACCCTTATCAGTGTGTTCGCACCTCCCAATCACTGGCAGCTGAGGAATGACAAGGGGTAGCCAAGTGCCCACAGGGTGTGAGCTACCGGCCATGCCATGTAAAGCAATGCCTGTCAGTAGAGCAGAA